TTCTATTGTTGGCGATGTTGATCCGTTTCAACTGTTGGCGATATTGATTTGATTTATTTTTCAGCTGTTGGTGATGTTGATTTGTTTCATGTTTCATGTTTCAACGGTTGGCGATGCTGATCTAATACAACCATTAGCGATGCTTTTTAGCCACTATGAATATTATTTTTCCTTCCCACCGTTGACGTTATTAGTCTCCCACATTTCCAACCGTTGACGTTATTAGTCTCCCACATTTCCAACCGTTGACGTTATTAGTCTCCCACATTTCCAACCGTTGACGTTATTAGTCTCCCACATTTCCAACCGTTGACGTTATTAGTCTCCCACATTTCCAACCGTTGACGTTATTAGTCTCCCATATTTTCCACCGTTGACGTTATTAGTCTTCCATATTTCCCACCGTTGACGTTATGATTATTAGTCTTCCATATTTCCCACCGTTGACGTTATGATTATTAGTTTTCCATTTTCCCACCGTTGACGTTATGATTATTGGTCTCTCATATTTCCCACCGTTGACGTTATGATTATTAGTCTCTCATATTTCCCACCGTTGACGTTATGATTATTAGTCTTCCATATTTCCCACCGTTGACGTTATGATTATTAGTCTCTCATATTTCCCACCGTTGACGTTATGATTATTAGTCTCTCATATTTCCCACCGTTGACGTTATGATTATTAGTCTCTCATATTTCCCACCGTTGACGTTATGATTATTAGTCTTCCATATTTCCCACCGTTGACGTTATGATTATTAGTCTCTCATATTTCCCACCGTTGACGTTATTAGTCTCGAATGTTTCCCACCGTTGACGTTATGATTATTAGTCCACCATATTTCCCCACCGTTGACGTTATGATTATTAGTCTCTCATATTTCCCACCGTTGACGTTATGATAATTAGTCTCTCATATTTCCCACCGTTGACGTTATGATTATTAGTCTCTCATATTTCCCCACCGTTGACGTTATGATTATTAGTCTCTCATATTTCCCCACCGTTGACGTTATGATTATTAGTCTCTCATATTTCCCCACCGTTGACGTTATGATAATTAGTCTCTCATATTTCCCACCGTTGACGTTATGATTATTAGTCTCTCATATTTCCCACCGTTGACGTTATGATTATTAGTCTCTCATATTTCCCCACCGTTGACGTTATGATAATTAGTCTCTCATATTTCCCACCGTTGACGTTATGATTATTAGTCTCTCATATTTCCCCACCGTTGACGTTATGATAATTAGTCTCTCATATTTCCCACCGTTGACGTTATGATTATTAGTCTCTCATATTTCCCACCGTTGACGTTATGATTATTAGTCTCTCATATTTCCCACCGTTGACGTTATGATTATTAGTCTCTCATATTTCCCCACCGTTGACGTTATGATTATTAGTCTCTCATATTTCCCCACCGTTGACGTTATGATTATTAGTCTCTCATATTTCCCCACCGTTGACGTTATGATTATTAGTCTTCCATATTTCCCCACCGTTGACGTTATGATTATTAGTCTCTCATATTTCCCACCGTTGACGTTATGATTATTAGTCTCTCATATTTCCCCACCGTTGACGTTATGATAATTAGTCTCTCATATTTCCCCACCGTTGACTTTATGATAATTAGTCTCTCATATTTCCCCACCGTTGACGTTATGATTATTAGTCTACCATATTTCCCCACCGTTGACGTTATTAGTCTCCCATATTTCCCACCGTTGACGTTATTAGTCTTCCCTATTTTCCACCGTTGATGTTATTAGTCTCCATGTTTACCACCGTTGAGGATATTATTCTTCCATATTTTCCACCGTTGATGTTATTAGATTTCCATACTTCCCACCGTTGACATTATTAGTCTGCTATATTTTTTCACCGTTGACGTTATTAGTATCCCATATTTTCCACCGTTGACGTTATTAGTCTCCCATATTTTCCACCCGTTGACGTTATTAGTCTCCCATATTTTCCACCGGTATTGTGGTTTGTCCAGCCTTTTCCTACCATAGGTATTTTGTGTCCATCCTATTTCCATCGGAGATAATATTTGTTGGGCCTAGTCCCACTGTTGAGATATTCTTATCCCAGTTGTTTTCATCTTTGGTGTAGTTTCTAATCTTATTGTTGGTGTGGTAGTATGTTACGTATTGTCTTCGTATTGTCAGTTTGTCTATATCTGCCACTGATTATACATGTGTGTATGTATGTATGAGTGTGTGTGTGTGCTTGTATATGTGTGTGTGCCTTTATATGTGTATATGGTACTGACTTTCTACCTCACTAGGCCATCACACAAGCGATAAACACCCGATGAGGATTGCCGTGGAGAGGTCACAGAAACCGCGTTCAGACAATTGGCCATATTTATGGCCTGCCTATATTGCGGCCCCTGGCAAAAGCCAGGGTGGGGCTTCAAATAACAAAAAATTTCGTCCTTTCAAGGATGAAACTGAATACAACAGTGTATTTGGTAATATTGATAGCGGATCCAGTCAACCTATCCGCTCTTTCATTTCCACTGACGCCTGCGAGTCCCGGAACGAATATATATATATATGTGTGTGTGTGTGTGTGTGTGTGTGTGTGTATATATATATATATATATATATATATATATATATATATATATATATATGTATATATATATATACACACACACATACATATACATGTGTGATTTCTTTAGTATTGTTTGACTGTCGCCTTTCTCCCTTTATCTTCTACAACATTCATGCTTCAATTAAAACCTGTTTTTAATTTGTGTGTGTGTGGGGGGGGGGGGAGGGGGGAGGGGGGGGGGGGGGGGTTACAATATTCCCACTGTCTTCATCGATTCATTACTTCCCTTTAAAATAAATTAAAATAAATAATACACAGTGGAGGCGGTAAAAGAAACGCAGTGTGGCCATTCAGCTGGGAATGACGCATTTACATACCCTTCCCACATCGTAGGAGTTTTTGTGATCAATAAAACATGAGTTCAGAGTTGAAAACCAGATGTCATCCCTTGTTGCGATCAGTGGCTGTTTTACGTTGGGCTTATGTTCTCAACAACAGGTGTTTATTGTGCTGTTCGTCACAGATGTTTCTCATTCATCCAGTCATCCATACAATCATATACACTTCCATCTATGTAGGCGTTTACTTTGTCCCCCTTGCCTTTTACATTCTCAAGTGTCTTAATTATCTTCCTTATGCAACCTTTGTAATCTTTGTTATTTTATTTATTCTTCTGTAAACATTTTTTTCTTCTTCTTTTCTATTCTCTGCTTCTTCTTCTTCTTGTAGTTGTTGCAGTCGTTGTTGTTATTGTTGTTATTGTATATGATTTAATCATGCGTTTGTTCATCTTCCATTAATTTGTCATTTGGTTATTATAGTTTCTAAATTTTCGTTTTATTTACATTTGTACCTTTTCTTTATTCCACTTTAATATTTGCTGATTACTTCATTTTATAAACATTCCCTCAACCTTAATTTGTGCACTGACTGATCAGTACAGTGCACAGTACGTTTTACTGACCAATGTTCGATGAATCTGTTGTCCATTGTATAAACTGTTTTGTCTAGCCGTGTTTAACTTCAGAAATATTTCTTTTCACAGAAGTCCACTGTGCGTGGGTGGAGTTAGATTTATTTTCGTTCCGGGACTCGCAGGCGTCAGTGGAAATGAAAGAGCGGATAGGTTGACTGGATCCGCTATCAATACCGACGGTCAGCCTATGGACAATGCTGATATTAATAATGCTGTCCGAGAAATAGGAAGAGGGGAGGAGTTTGGGTGCAGTGAATCAACATCACTCACCAGAATGATAGACTTAGGAGTCAAGATTAGCATAGCAAAAAACGAGAGGCACACCAGGCACATCTGAGGACTTGTTAATCTGGTACTGATATGAGCGGTTTGGGACTGTCGTAGAGTTTCCGATTACAGGTGTTTATTCTGTGAACGTTGCTGGGGGTATGTTTATGCTTTGTGCTGCAAGCCGTTATGTGTCAATACAACTAACTGCTGGGGATAAAAGTTCAATTCAGTGAATTTTAAATCCCTGACCAGAGATTGATCACATATTACCCGTTGTGGCTGAACGAGTTTTCGTCAAAGAAACTAGCACCAGACTTCTAAAGACCCACATTCTTAAAGCCTCATTCCCTATTAATAGAAGGTACTTACCCGAGCAGGCAGACTGTGAGGAGAGCGACGTTCTGCAAAGGACCTGCTATATGATGATGATGACTTCCCCGTGCTTGTATCTGGCACCTCAAGGCTGGGTCGACCTGAGAGTCAATGTCACACACATAAAATGTCCGGCTCAGTCAATATTTGAACCCACGACATTCCGATCCGCAGGAGTAGGTCTAGTTGCTACACCAGGCGACTCCCTAAGTAACTTAGGTCTAACCCTCTATACGCAGTACGCATCATGAACTGGGAAAAGCGTCCTGTGAACAACTATATACAGCTGTTCCAGTATTCAGTCCCTGTTAAAAAAAAAAAAGGGGGGGGGGGAGGGCCTGTGTGGTCTCAACGCATCGTGCCCGCCTCAAGTGCTGGAAGTTCCAGGTTTAATCCCCAGTGAGGGCTGAGATTTTTTCACGGGGACTTGGACTTCTAGTAATTCCCCCTGGTCTCCGGACGCATGTGTGCATTGTTGCGCACGTAAAAAATCCCTTGGTAGTTGGGAATCGAAGGGAGTAGCTTAATGGCGCTGCCCTAGCAAAATTTGGAGTTAAAAATCTACCCAATGTATTTCAGGATATTCGCCAGCGCTACAGAGCCTGTGCACTGCGAAGAGCTTCTTCGGACCCAGACTTGAGTTAGAAGAAAAACTGAGCATTTATGGTTTGCTACCCGTGTGCCATTATGTTAATCTGTTGTTCAAGCTTCAAACCTCAAGTCACCGTGTGTAAGCATTTTTTTTCCCTACTGATTCTGCTATTCTTGTTTAATTGAACGTGCTTGTATTTCTCTCCACTCACAGGATGGCCACGTTCCAAGCTAACCCTAACCTGCAAGACGAAGGTAATAACAACTCTGGTAGAGGCGGCCCCTTTGGGAAACTGACACGCAAGGCGATCCTTCTAGGCCTGCCCAGGATGGCTGCTCGATCCACGCGGTCCTTGTTCATCTTCAGCGAGGAGAACTTTATTCGCAAATACGCCAAGATCATCATCGAGTGGGGATATCCTTGCTTCGTGTGTGCTCATCATTAATTTCTGTGCTTATTGTAGTTTTGTATCAAATATTTTGTTTAGAAAGTTAAACGATCGATAGATAACATCACTCTGACCGTGATAACACCGTTCTTGCGTTGATAACATCACTCTCACTTTGATAACATCATTCTTACCGTGATAACACCGTTCTTACCTTGATTACCATAATTCATACCTTGATAACATCATTCTGACATTGGAAACATCGCACATACCTTGATAACACAATTCTTAACCTGATAGCACAATTCTTACTTGATAACATCATTCTGACATTGGAAACATCGCACATACCTTGATAACACAATTCTTAACCTGATAGCACAATTCTTACTTGATAGCATTATTCATACCGTGATAACATTACCCTTACATTGATAACAACATTCTTAATTTGATAACATTATCACCTTGTTAACATAATTCCGCCTTTGCTAACAAAATCCTGCCCTTGATAACATCATTCTAACCTTAATAACAACATTATTACATTGATAACAACATTTTTACCTCGATAACAACATTCTTACCTTAATAACACCATTCTTATCTTGATTAAAAAAATTCTGCCCTTGATAAAATTATTACCTTGATAACATCAAGAAGCAGGCAGCAGCAACAGCAGAATTAGAAGAAGAAGAAGAAGAAGAAGAAGAAGAAGAAGAAGAAGAAGAAGAAGAAGAAGAAGAAGCAGTGGTGGTGGTAGTGTTAGTAGTAGTAGTAGTAGTAGTAGTAGCAGCAGCAGCAGCAGCAACAACAACAGCATTCGTAGTAGTTGTAGTAGTAGTAGAACAGGCACTATTGTTGATAATGGTGATCTTTAGTTCCTGTAATTGTAGCCCTTGTTGGCAAGTATTTAATGGCAGTCACTGAGGAGCAGCCTAAGCTATAATCATCAGAGAACATCTACTTGCAGAGTAAGGTATCGGAGACAGCACTAGTCACATCGATATCTATGCTCTCTATGGGAACACATAACGGCGATACTCGGCTGTTTTATGCAAATCGATTGTCTGAGACTTCCATTATGCGATGTCCATTTATTCTGTCTATCATAAAAAAAAGCTGTTTTTGTTTTTAAACGGATTCTGTCTAGAACAGAGTTTTATTGCATGTCTTATTGACAGTTTTTACTTTAACCCTGTTTGCTCTAGTCAGTTGTTACTTTTAACTCTTTCTGTATGTATCAGCTGTTACCTTAACTCTGTTTGTCCAAGTCAGTTGTTACTTTAACTCTGTCTATCCAAGTCAGTTGTTACTTTATCTATCCAGGTTAGTTGCTACTTACACTCTATGGGCTGTAGTCAGTTGTTAGTTTAACTCCCCCTCTCTAAGTCGCTTGTTACTTTAACTTATCTGCCATAATCAGTTACTACTTTAACTCTGACTGTCCTAGCAGGTTTTGTGGCATTAACTCTATCTGCCAAAGTCAGTTGTTATTTGAATTCTGTATGTCCAAGGCAGTTACTTTAACTCTATCTGCCAGTCAGGACTTTAACAAACCTGTCTGTCTAAATCAGTTGTTACTGTAGGTCTGTCTGTCCAAGCCAGTGGTGACTTTAACTCTGTCCAAGTCAGCTGTAACTTTAACTTGTCCAAGCACCTCACTTGTTAGTTTAACTCTATCTGTCCAAGTCATTCGGTAGTTGAACTCTCTCTATCCAACACAATGTTACTATGGCTCTGTCAAGGATGTTACTGTTACTCTGTCTGTCCACATTAATGTTACTACAACTCTATACAAAACGAGGTTACTATGACTTTCTCTGTCCAGTGCAGGTGTTACTCTTATCCTATCCGAAGCGATGTTACGATAACTCTCTCTCTCTCTCTCTCTCTCTCTCTCTCTCTCTCTCTCTCTCTCTGATGCACATATTACTATGATCTATATTTCCAAAGCGACGTTACTATGACGCTGTCTATCTAATGCAGATGGTACTATAACTCTCCGAAACTATGTTACAGTGACTTTTTGCCAGACATTTGTGGCTGTAGCTTGAAGTGTCCCAAATAGTTGTTGCTTGCTCTCTGAAAGTTGCGGGTTTTGTTGGGAACGTAACCATATTTAATTTACAGGGGGTCATGGCTGGAGCTACTAAGTTTGTGGCTTGTGCGATGCTCTCGGCCTGCTTACAGCCACTCTGTGAAAAGAGGTCTAGCCAGATTGGGTATTAAACCCGGTGTTGCTTAGGTCCCACTTTTTACCTCTATACTCATTAAGTGTACGCATGATTTGAGTGAGCTATTGTTATTGATAGAGTACCAGGTAGGTGGAATATCTATCACAGCCACAAAGTAGCAGCTATGTGAAACCCCAGCCGTTTTAACTGCTACGCGGAAATCAGCATTTCCTCTGTAGTTGTTTTAGTAGATTTTTACCCCACTAGGACATCATACAAGTGCCACAAAGTGCCATCATGTGGATGAGGATCACCGTGGAGAGGTCCCGGAAACCGCGTTCAGCCATTGGACCATATTTAAGGTCGGGCTATATTGCGGCCCCTGGCAAGAGCCAGAGTAGGGCTTCAAATAATGAAAAACTGCATCTCACAAAGAGATGTCTGGATTGTGTAATTTCCTCTTGTCTCAAACGGCTTTACTTAAGCAAACTCTTACCCGTATCAACAGTTAGGTGACCACGAAATATTGCTCTAGGTAATATCATGGGCGGTAAAAACGGCCGGAGTGGATGTTCCTGTACTTTACTTACTGTTCATGCGAATGTGCTCAATGTATAGTTAGGCGACCTCACGTTTGTTTGCCATTACAGTGTCTAGTGAAATGTGTGCTTATTAAGAAAACGGGGTGATTGGCTGAAAAGGCAATGGTATTTTACTAGACTCATGTGTTAGGTGGATCATTTACTTAGAAAGTAGAGTCACTGCGTAATAAAGATTACAGCTGGGCTAACATTTAGTGTTGAATCAAGTATTTATTGAATTAGACAAAGAAGGGTTAACGGGTTATACATCACATTTGCATGGACAGTCAGCGCCAAGTACAGTTTCTGCTCAGAACATGGTATCATTGTTCATTTGTCAAAATCAGTTGTTAGGTGAAATACTTACTCAGAAAACAGACTAATTACCTGTTATAGTTACAGCTGTGGCAGTATTCATTGCTGGGTGGAACGTGCGCTCAGTCAGAAAGTGGAGCATTACGTGTAGTAAGTTAAAGTGACAACTCGAGTCAATGTCAGGTGGAATATTTTCTGTCAGACAGAGGAGTCATTACGTATTGTCAACAATAGTAACAACTCGAACCAAAATCAAGTCGGATATTTTCTCACTTAGAAAATTGAGTTGTTACACATTGTCAATGATAGTATCAGCTCAGGTGGGATATTTTCTCAGTTAGAACCTGGAGTCATAACATATTGTTACTTATAGTCACAGCTCGAGGCAATATCGTGGAATATTTTCTCAGCTCGAAAATGGAGTCTTTACGTAATGTAATAATAAAAACAACTCAACATCAGGTGAAATATTTCCTCAGTTCGAAAATAGAGTCGTTATGTAATGTAAATAATAATAATAATAGCAACTCGTCCTCAGGTGGAATATTTTCTCAGTTCTAAAATGAAGTAATTAATTGTAATACATGCACTCATGGTAGCATTTAGTGCTAGGTGGAAGTTATGTTATGTTATGTAACTGAGTCCTTGCGTATTGTTGCTCACAAAAAACATCTGGAGTCAACACATAGTGCATTATTTTCTCAGGTAGAAAATAGATTCATTACGTATTGTTGCTCACTAAAACATCTGGGGTCAACACATAGTGCATTATTTTCTCAGGTAGAAAATAGATTCATTACGTATTGTTGCTCTCTAAAACATCTGGGGTCAACTCATAGTGCATTATTTTCTCGGGTAGAAAATAGATTCATTACGTATTGTTGCTCAGTCACAACTGAAGTAGTGCTGGTCGGAATATTTGCTCTGTTTTAGCTTTTTTCAAAAGCGGATTCATTACGTAATGTATAGATTACAGCTGCTTAAACATACAGTTGCATTTGGAATGTTTACTTAAACATATGGAGTCTTTGCTTATTATGGCTTAGGGATAGATATAAAACCGAACTAAAGTATATCAGCGAGCTTCACAATTTAACAAACACAAACTAAACGTGAACGTTGCCACTATGGAGCCTTCTTCAGCACATACATTGATTTGACAATACTATACAAAGTATATTATTATGTATTATTATGGACTACAGCTGCGCCTACATTCAGAGCTAAGTAGAATGTATTATTGTTAGAAAATATGAGGCATTACACATCGCAGATCACATCTGTTTCATCAGTCGGGGCCAAGATAAACGTGTGCTGAGTTAGAAAATATGAGGCATTACACATCGCAGATCACATCTGTTTCATCAGTCGGGGCCAAGATAAACGTGTTCTGAGTTAGAAAATATGAGGCATTACACATCGCAGATCACATCTGTTTCATCAGTCGGGGCCAAGATAAACGTGTGCTGAGTTAGAAAATATGAGGCATTACACATCGCAGATCACATCTATTTCATCAGTCGGGGCCAAGATAAACGTGTGCTGAGTTAGAAAATATGAGGCATTACACATCACAGATCACATCTGTTTCATCAGTCGGGGCCAAGATAAACGTGTGCTGAGTTAGAAAATATGAGGCATTACACATCGCAGATCACATCTATTTCATCAGTCGGGGCCAAGATAAACGTGTGCTGAGTTAGAAAATATGAGGCATTACACATCGCAGATCACATCTGTTTCATCAGTCGGGGCCAAGATAAACGTGTGCTGAGTTAGAAAATATGAGGCATTACACATCACAGATCACATCTGTTTCATCAGTCGGGGTCAAGATAAACGTGTGCTGAGTTAGAAAATGAATCATTTCCTACTTTTTACAATTGCACATGGAGTCAGCATCAAATGAAACTTTTTCTCACAAAACGAAGTGATTACTTTATTGATGCAGTTGTGGTAGTATTC